CTCTGACTAGTTGTTTGTTCTAAATGAGAGGGTTCTTGGAGGCCAGATGGAAAGTAACTTGGCATTTTCAGAAGGCATGAACTGCGTTTTGATTCTTGATAATTTGGCATGGCTATTCTTGGCACTTTTATATAGTCTATTTGGGCCAAGCTATTAATTAGCAGCAGTGCACCTTTGATACAGAGATAACGACTGTGACATCCTGGGCAGACTGGATGGAGTTCTTCCATGTTTGAAAGCATATACTAGTTGTTTTTTATGAACAATATGCACACAAGTTTTGAGCAGATGTCAAAGGAGTCATGAGAGCATAAGGAGTCGCTGCTGCAGCTGAATCAAGTAATACTTGCTCAAGAAGCTTGAACTGCAGCTGGACAAATGTCCAGAATATGGGGGTGCCAGAGAGAAATATTTCTGCTTCTGATTAAATGGTGTTTGCCACTTGTCCTGGTTTCAGCCAGGATAGAGCTGGTTTTCTTCATAGAAGCTAGTGTGAGACTGTGTTTTGGATTTGGGATGAGAAACTGTTGATAATGTGCTGATGTTTTGGGTTGTTGCTGAGCAGTCAAGGACAGTCCAGCTTCTTGTGCTGGCCTGCCAGCGAGCAGGCTGGGGGTGCATGGGGAGCTGGGAGGGGACACAGCCGGGACAGCTGAGCCAGGCTGGCCAAAGAGATATTCCCTACCATACGACGTCATGCCCAGTACATAAACTGGAGTTGGCCGGGGGGTGGAAATCGCTGCTCGGGGACAGGCTGTCGATCGCCGGGTGGTGAGCAATTGCTGTATTGGGCATCACTTGTTCTTGTACATTCCTTTGTTGGTATTATCATTGTTGTTTCCTTCTTTCTTTCTGTCCTATTAAACCGTGTTTATCTCAACCCACGAGTTTTTTTTCCCAATTTTCTCCCCCGTCCTACTGCGGGAGGGGGAGTGAGCGAGCAGCTGCGTGGTGCTTAGTTGCCGGCTGGGGCTAAACCACGACAATACTGCAAAGTACCAAAGGAATATGTGCTAGTCTGCCTCATTTGAATTTGAAAATGAGAGTTAGTGATCAGTTCTATATGATATACAGTTTATTAGAGGACATTCAGAAGGGGAATGCAATGACCAAGAAGGCTAGAGACACCAATCTGAGTCATGCTCTGGCAGCTTAACTATTAAGCTATTGCTACGGTAGAAGCTTATTCTTTCTACTCTTATGTTGGTTTTTACTTTTCTCACACATAAAAATTAAATAAATTGCAAAAATTACCTAATGCCCAACTGCCATCTCATCGAAAGTGTTATAAATAGAACGTGTTTCCAGGCATCCAGCTCATAACACTGCTCCAAGATTTCCTTGTCTTTCCTTGTCTTTTATCATAAAAGACTGTTGCACAAAGGGAAGATATAAATATTAGAGGGTTTTTTTTCTCTGTCCAGCTAACCTTCTGCTTTGCTTCATCTGCATTATTTGAGTTGAAGGGTGATGTAGGTGCAAGTAGCTTGAAAGGAGGAAAAAACCAAAATACAAGACCACAAAAACCCCACCAGCCTTCTTCTAAACACTTGGTTTTGCATATTTGCTGTCTGACCACAGAAATGCTTTACTGGGTAGGAGATGGTATTTAGGGAGCGCATTATTCTTCTTCTACATGTGGCCCTTTTCCTTTCTATTTGCCCCAGAATCTGCAACTGTTGGATTAGGAATCTTCAAGTCATCTTTTAAAAATGGATCACACGTAAATGTCTGTATAGTAACAGCACATGTAGTAATCATGCTCAGTGAAATGAAGGTTGGTGTCCAGATGTGGGAGTCCCTCTGTATGCAGTTCCTGGAACCACTCAGAATTCAGTGGGAGCTTACACAGGGAGCAGCAATTCATTTGCACACTGTCAGTGTGCATTGAAATATGGGGGCACAATTTTGCTGCGTTTCAGGTCAACCCACCTGCTCTGTAAATGTCTTGAAAGCATTTGAAAAGGAAACAGTTTGAATAGAGTAAAATAATGCTTGTTTAGTGCTATTTAAACTGAAATGTGCCTGGTTTGAAAAAACTTAACTGAATGCTCTTGAGCATGCTGATGTATTGAATTTTTTGCATGTAGTGTTTTTTGAGTAACCCTACTAAAGGAAGCCGATGCCTGTTGTTGCATACAAAATGGAGGTTTGTGAGGTTTAATACTTTTGTGAACAAAAGTATTAAAACCTTCTATTTTTTTTCTACTGATCAAATATTAAATTGGCTGATCAAAACACGGTCTTAGATAACATGGAATAGTTTGCATTCACAGTGCTTAAATTTCAAATTTATTAGACTAAGCTATTAATCATTTACCTCTAAATAACAATCTTATTTGTAGACAACCTTATTCATTTGGAAAAAGAAGTTGGAAAGCTGAAACTTTCTACTCACTTATTTCTGAACTGGTTAAGTTAGATTTGCTGAGAATCTAGTCAGATAACTTCTCTTGGTGTCACATTTTTCTTTTGAAAGTATTACAGTGGGCCTCAAGAGAGTAATGACAAGCCAAACCAGCTTGTTTTGGCTGACCCCTATTTTGTCAGCCTAGGGTTGAAAATTGGGAACTAGAAGGTCGGCAACTTTTGAGTTACTCAACCATGTTGAACACAGAGCTGCTGCATAGAAAGTGGTGTATCGTCAGCTGAGCAAAGTCAGCACACCTGACTTTCTCTTGACTGTGCTCTCCATAGCTCTAATAGATCCATGGAAAAGTTGGGGGTTTTTGTTAAGGTTTTGTTTTGTTTTTAAAAAGCATTTGCTGCCCCTCTGCCCCACTTCCAGGTGACATTATAAAAACACACAGGTCCAGATGAACTGTTTTATCTCCCTACCTGGGAAGTGGCTGTATGAAACTATAGTTGATGGAGTATATTTTGATGTAGGCTGGCCATCCAGACATGACATTTTGTGGTATGTACCCTGGGATAAAATGTACTCACTCACTGATGGAAATCTAGCACAACTTTCTTGGACTCTATTTAATAGTGTTTTGGTTGTCTGGTTCCAGAGAACTTAAGCTTTCTGGCCATGATCTAGCTGCCTTTTACAGCTGGATTTACATGCTTGGTACAGCATGCCTTTGGCACACGGCTGAGGAACTGCAGAGGTTATGGCTTTCTCTTGTTAAGGAGATATTTTCTATAACTGCAATACATGACTCCCCATCCTTTTAATCCAAGAATGGCTCTCTTATTTTTAAGGTCCCTGTAGAAAAACACTGTTTTTTCCCCTCTTGCTCTGCAGTAAAATTGGCTAGCAATGGGCTTTATTTGAAGGGGTATTAAACTCCCTTTTTACTAATGTGAACTGCATGATCTGTTAAGGGGAATAACAGAATATTCATTTTGGTTTGGTCTCCTTCCATAGGATTCCCCTACTACACATGTTACGTGCTAGCTGAATGAGACACCACCTCCTTTGCCCACATCCCCACTCAGTAAGAAGCAGTTACAGTAATGTTGCTAATTAGGCAATGTGCATGCTGTGGACTATGTAAAGTCCCTGGATTATTTTTCCTACCCCTTCCTGCAATTCTTTCTCACTACAGAATAAGCTACTCTTGGTTGTTAGTCCACACCATGACACAGATCAGAGTGGGTGCATCCCCTCGTGCAGAGTTTCACTTGAAGTTGTGAACAACATTTTATTCTGTTACGTAACCAGTCCATTGAAAACTGATCAAAATAAATGTTATTCACAGGCTATCTGAATAAAAAGGTTGATTTGCTTGTGTTGAACAAACATAGAGAAATAATCTACATATCTGACATTAATTTTACCAATGCAGTAAGCTGAGCTGTAGCAGTGCCTCTTGTTGTCCTGTCTCTCTTAGTATGTTCAATGTTTCTTGCTTTTTCTTTCTTGGGTTCCTCCTTTGACAGTTTGGGCAATGGGCCCAGACCTGATGTGCAACAAGTTCTGCTGTCCTCATTCTGTGTTTCTCTGATATACCTGGGTCAAAAAATAGTCTAGTACTGTGCTGAAATGAGCATAGATGCTTTTAATTTAGCACACACCATTATTCAGTTTCACTTACCATTTGACATGAGTGAGACACTCCAGTCCTGTAATCTGAACAATTAATATTTTAAGTAATTGCCTGTCAGCTGTGATGGGTGAGCAGCAAAACTGGACAAGTATGGGTAGCACTAATGCTGTTTTACCAGGAGCATTGTTTGCAAGGGCAACTGTGGTTTTACCTTTTGGAGAAGAAAGGGCTCCTCTTTCCCTTTTGACCTGTAATTCAGGGGGTGAAGTAAGCCCCTTATACCCAGGCTGCTTTGCTAAAGAACTTTAGCGCAATCAGCCAGGTTGGTGAGTGGTTGTCTTTCTGTGGTTTTAAATTATATTTTTTTCATTGTTATTTTTTGGGGGTGGGTTTGAGGTTTTGTGGGATTTTTTGGTCAGGAGTTTTTGGGCTTGTGTGGTAGGTTTTTGTGTTGTGGGTCTTTTTTGTTGTTTTGTTTCTTTTTGGGGGTGACGGGTGGGTTTTTTGGAGAAGAAAGACTGAAACCAACGTGGTGTTTGATACTGAAGTGTTGAGAGACCAGTGTGATTAACTTTGAAAAGAATCCTGAGCATCTCGGGGCTGTTGTAAATCCACATTCTTGGGAGAGCAAAATTCTGCTGTAATGGCTCCACTCTAGAGATGTTTCTGTTACCAGCTTGTGTTTTTAATACTGCAGTGCCCTGTATGATGTGACATTTGGAAATGAGTGCCATAGCACAAGAGAGGTTTCTATCCCTGTTTTAAATGGACGTGGCCTCTGGGCCCTGTGGAGGAAGGCACTTAACCGAGTGGAAGGGTTTGTGACCCCGACTCCCTCTGAGCGGGGAAGGTGTAGGTGCGAGGGTTGATTACAGGGTCATAACGCACCTACACGATCTACTGGTCTGTATCACACCAGGTTGATTTTGGTGACTTTTCCCATTGAGCATATACCGAATTAATTGGGGGTTTGGCTTTAACTGTTGTACCTGTCACCATCCCCAGGCAAGGGACCTGAAACCCTTTATGCTGGGCAGAAACTGAACGACAACGAGTGGCACACTGTCCGGGTAGTTCGGCGAGGAAAGAGCCTCAAGCTGATGGTGGATGATGATGTTGCTGAGGGTAAGTGTGATGTATGCATATTTTTTGGTCATTATCTTTGTATACCTGTTCCCAGTCTTGTCTCTGCTGTTACACCTGTTCTCCCTGTTCTTGTGTGTGTATCTCCACCCCCCGCCCCCTGCCCCCCGCCTCTTCCTGTTACTTCTTGTGTATTTATTGTTACTGTGTTGAAAACGAATGTTCAGTTTTGAGAGACTAACTGTTCCTAGCACCAGGTATTTCTGTGACGACTATACCGATGTGGAAATGTGGGATTAGGGGACAGATGAGCTTGCACACACCCCAGAGTGCTGAGGTGCTAAGCAGCGCTCTCTTGTGCCGGGCTCTGCTTGGGGTACACTGTGAGTATAGCTCATTCCTGAGCTGCAGATGTCATGGTTTCCAATGCTGTGGAATCAAAACCAGGGTTCTCTAAACCATTCCTCTGCACCAGACTTTTCCTTGATGGTAAACCCACATTTGGTAGATACGTTAGAAAATACGGATTTCTGTCTCTGCTGGGTTTTGGTTTTGTGGGTTTATTTACTTATTTATTTATTTTTCTCATGTTGCTGTGTTCATCCAGAACACAGAAGAAAGAAGAAAAAGAAGAAAAAGCAAATCAAGCAGTTTGTTACCAACCTTGTTTTAGAGATTAGGGAGGACCCTGACTCATCAAAGTATATCATATCGTAATGTATAGAGTGTTTGACTCCTTCCCCCTCCGCCGCCTACTTTTCTGCATTTCCTGACAGCTTTTTGAGCTCCTGCTTCTTTTTTGTAGAGAAATGTAGTTGAAAGGGGGAAGAAAAGATCAATTGCTCGGGAAAGTTGGTGTTTCCCACGTTATGAGATTCGCATTGAGATGATGCAGGGTACTTTAGATAGATGTGTTTGTTTTGTTTGTTGTGGTTTTTTGGTTTGGGTTGGGGGGGGACTGTTCAAATTTTGAGAGGGGACACTTTTCTGGTCCATTTCCCCACAGCTGCCAGAAACTTATTTTTCTTTTTTTGAAGACCTAAAATTCTCATAGCTGTATATAAATGTAGGAATTGGGTTTTTGAGGAAAACACTAGCGGTCTGAAGGCTGATAACACAATCAAAGAACAGTAACCCTGGATGCAACACTGACATGGGTATGTTCATTTAGTTGTAATCCATGCTGTTTTGCCAAATGGTGACGTCCTCTCCTCTGAGTAGCTTCTGCTCAGAGGGCGACTAGAAGGAACGACTGCCATAGGCAATGCCAGAATATTGTATCCTATCACTGCAAAAAGTTCTTTTCTACTGTGTGAATGCAATTAATTTTAATGTGGTAATTAGATTATTTGGAAAGCCACGAGTCAGGATTTTGAATTAAGCCCAAAGAAGTGGGTCTGCAGGAAAATTACTTGATGTATATTTTTCCCACTGAAGTAACTACGTATTGTGCTATATAGGCTGAGACTTTGTAAGAGAGAATCAGAAGCATATGAAAGAAGAATCTGTCTCTCTCCTTGTTGGAATTGGCAGATGCTTGGTCAACACTAGCTTGTAGGAAAACGAAAATCTGTTTAAGAGCGAACTTTCTGAATTAGTGAAACATGCTGGTAAACACTTAATCCTGATTACTTCTGCATTTAAGAATTCTTCTGGATATGCTTTTTCAGCAAGCACCATGAGGTGGCGCGCTCTGCATTGCCAACTCAAGACCCAAAAGCCATCTGTTTTTGAAATCTCTTTTTCATGAAACTGAATTTATAAATAATAACGATACAATCCTATACTAAAATAGGATGTGCATATGTACATGGATATGAATTACATAATTAAAGATGCATTACAGCTAAAAATACCTATTAAAAGGATGCCATCATGGTAAAGTCAAAAGTCAGAAAAACCAGAGTTAAGATTTTCTGTGCAATCTACATCCCACTTCCTTGTGCAGATGATACAGTCTTCAACGATGTGGTTACATAGATTTTTCCACAGGATTCTTGCCGTCTTTAGGCATAGATCAGAAATCTAAATTGGGGCCCCAGTACAAATAAACAACCTATTAGATTGCCTCTTCCTTTCTTATTGCTTGTTTAGAACAATGCATGCCAACTAAGTTTTGTTCTAAATATACAGCTGCCTTCCCTCTTTTTGGTGTGTGTGTTGTGTGCTACCCATCAATATGTTCATATAGATCTAAGAAGCTGTAACTGGATTTATTCCCATGTCTACATTTTATATGAAGCGTGTAGGCATCTCCTGTTTTACGGGTTTGGAAACAGTGCACAGGATTAAAGTTGGACGTATTTGGTACCGATTTGGCATGATTTTTCAGTCTCTTGCATGCACAAATATTCAACATGTCTACAGATTGGATCCTGTAACCGTACCACTTGGAGAATTAGGTCTAGACAATTAATGACCACCTGTGAAAAATTTGTAATGAAGTGATTGACTTGGCTTCCTGCAGGACATCTAAGGCAGAGACAGAATCCAATTCCCCTGGACAGCGTTTTGCTGCGTTATCACAAAACCCTCCTCCCACATAACCCACCCCCCTCAGAACATACCTCAGAACATCAGTGATAAATGAGAGACAAATATAGCAAATATCCCTCCCTACAACATCTTGCTAGCACCCCGATACTGCAGTGGAGGCAGGATTTTTTTCTGTGTGCTAACACTTGAACTAAAGAGCTGCTGGTTGCTGTAGTAGTTACAATACTCTCTACAGAGCACAGCAGAGGAATTAGAGGTGAACTCTGCAGGTGGGTCTGACAGCTAATGAGATCAGAAAATACTGGGTTTCATTCCATGATTTCTTAGGAAAATACATCTCTGTCCTGATTCTGGTCTTACATTGGCATGTCCTTTTCAGCTTTTCACTGAACTACTGCTAATTTTTTGCACTACCACTGCTATCAGTGTCCTATTTTTCTTAAGCCAGTCTGAGTTTTCTCATTTTCTAAAATAAGAAGATTTCGAAATTTTTTTTCCTAAGTTTCTAGGTTCTTTAGAAAATGAATTATTTTTAAAGAAATTCCTTTTTTAAAAGGAATTCTGGAAGAATTCCTTTTCTAAAATTCTAGGTTCACCTCTTCCAACCTCCCTCACTCCATTTCTAGTGCCCCCTATATTTGGGTTCTCTGTCCCAGTGTACGGCAGATCTCACAGGCCTGACTTTTCTCTGCTACTGTGGCAACAACAGCTTCTTTGCATTTATCTAAGAGTAGAAGAGCTAAGGAGAAGAGTTTTCTTATTCTTGGTCCTCAATATATCTACATAATATTTTTCTAATCTTTTGAAGTAAAGCAGCATAGTTCTCTTTTAAAAGTGATTATTTTTTTTTAATTTTATTTTTAAGAAAACATAATTCTTCTGGCTTGGAAAATCAGAAGTTTTCATTTGATAACAATACAACTGAAACAGCCTCTGACAATCACAGTAGCAGAAGTGAGATGGTTTGTCTAAACAAACTTTCCCATATACAGTTTCAGGTCCTGTGAACTGGCATTTTTCAAACTAAAATATTGTTATTTCTGGTAAAGAACTGTTTCAAGACTTAAAAACATTTGCATTGATACTGACTCTTGAATTTCTGAATAGTCAGAGATATCACAGAATCACAGAATCATTAAGGTTGGAAAAGACCTTCAAGATCATCAAGTCCAACCGTCTACCCAACAGCACCGTGCCCACTAAACCGTGTCCCGAAGTGCCATGTCCACACATTTTTTGAACACTTCCAGTGATGGTGACTCCACCACCTCCCTGGGCAGCCTGTTCCAATGCTTGACCATTCTCTCCGTAAAGAAATTTTTCCTAGTATCTAATCTAAACCTTCCCTAATATGTGACTCTTCATCTGCTTGTAAGTTTGTCCACCTGTATCTGCTTGGGTTGAAGCTTTCCATGTCAATGGTCTTTACATAATTGTCTTTAAATTTAAATCCACTGCTAAAATTGGGAATAAGTGAAAAAAATACATCATTTTGCATAATATTTTCTCTTCCTTTTTGGCATAGACACTTGAAAACATTTTTTCTAGTAACAACTGTGCTTGTTTGCTACCATTGCAAAAACTTGATCACATTTGGACAAAGTATAAACTGAAGAATTGCATTTTGTACATGATCATGAGATGTGAGTTAGGTATATATCAGTGTTTCAAGAGAACCTAAACAAGAAAGAGAGCATCCATTAATTTAATGTGACTTTTTACACACCATAAGCCAGGATGTATTATCCAAGTGTCTTAAACATTTTCAGCTTTCATTCTATCCCCAACAGAAAAAGAACAAAGAATGTGAATAGGAGGAAAAGTCATGAAAGGCCTATCTTTTTTTCTTTTTTTTTTTAGGTGAGAAATGCTAGGGGATTTCAGGAGATAGCACAGAATATGAGAAAGCTTGTAAGTCCCAGTTTATATGACCTGAGGGAATTAAAAGAGGAGTTTGTCCTGGAATCAGCTATGGTGATCAGTGTGACTCCCAGGTATAATCCCCATGACTCAGAAATGCCTCTTGCAGTGCCTAGTCGAGCCGTGTATATATGCTAACTGACTAACAGATGGGATCAAGCAGGATATTATTGCTAAATTTTGTCTGTCTATAGCACACTGGAAGCATTTATTCAGATCTAAATCCAGGTGTCATTTTTTCACAAAATTAGTATGAATTGATATATTTTTGACATTCTGTCCTTCTGTTCTTTTAAACCTGATTGAATTTGACCAGCATGTTAAAATGTTGTTGGAGATAGAAGGACCAACAGGTAGCATGGCCATTTCCTTTGGAAAACCTAAAATGAAGGACTTTACTTGTGCAGTAATTATGTTAGCAACATACTAGAAGATTAAGTAGAGAAATGTGCAAAAGCAGGGAAAAGTTGGAAGTAGATAGGTCTGTGTTTGTATGTGTTTTGATGTTGTCTAATTTCATATTTGCCGCTATCCTTTTTCCCACAGGAGCTTTGTTCTTCTCCTTATATTAAGAAAGAACAGTACAGCAAAACGGTTGACATTAGGTCTCTGTAGTAAAGGAGGTGCCTGTTTTTAAGATCCCCTTTGAAAAGTCTGTAGTGAATGAGACAGCATGTTAAAAGAGGAAAGGAACCTCTGTATAAGGCATGTGAAAACAGCCCAGGGGAATTGACTTCTCTACCTTAGAATTCCTGTGGAAAGCTGGATAAGTCACTTGAAGTCAGATCCTTCACAGTTGATTGTACCTGACCTTTTGAGGAGTACTTATTTGGCATTGTGGATCTTATTTCTGGAAGTACTAGGCCTCAAAACCAGTGAGTGCTCTGAAGTTGTTACATATTCCACTATTTCTTCTTTGAGATCCAAAACTATTTATATGTTGATCTCTCTGTTCCTCAGCTTTGCGTATATAAAATTGAAAGTAATGTTCCTTAGTCTTGCAGGAGGAATGCAAGGAATGCAATAATTCTCTTGTTCTAGAAGACTAGTATTTGAGGATAATTTGCATACTGTGCTGCTGAACTTGTGGGTTGACTGTGGCTGGCTGCCAGACACCCACCCAGCTGCTCTCTCACTCCCTCTCCTCAATAGGGCAGGGGGGAAAACAGGATAAGAGGGCTCATGGTTCAAGATAAAGATAGGAAAGTCACTTACCAATTCCTGTCATGGACAAAACAGACTTGACTTGGGGAAAATTAATTTTAATTTATTGCCAGTTAAAAATAGAATTGGATGGTCAGGGGAAAAAATCCCCAGAAAGTAAAACACCTTCCCTCGCCCCCTCCTTTTCTCAGGTTTGCTCCATCATTCCTGACTCTTCTACCTCCCCCCACCACCCGTGGTGCAGGGGGATGAGGTATGGTGGCTGTGGTCAGCCTGTAACAGCTCTTCTCTTCTGCTCCTTCCTCCTCGCACTTTTCCCCTGCTCCAGTGTGGATCCTTCCCATGGGTGGCAGGAAGTGCTCCAGCATGAGTCCTCCACAGGCTGTCAGGAAAACCTGCTTCACTGTGGGGGCTCTGTGGGATGCAGTTCCTTCAGGAAATATCCACCTGCTGTGGCATAGGGGTCCTCCATGGGCTGCACTGTGGGTGTCTGCTCTACCATGGTCTTCTCCATGGGCTGCCAGAGAACTTCCACTCTGGTGCCTGGAGTGCCTCCTCCAACTCCTCCTTTTCTGACCTTGGTGTTCACAGGATTGTTTCTTTTTTCCCTTTGTTCCTTACTCATGGGCAGCATTTTGCCCCTTCTTAAATATGTTTTCACAGACGTAGCATCATGGCAGAGGGGCTCAGCTCTGCCGTGTGGTGGGTCTGTTGTAGAACCATCTGAGTTTGGCACAGGGCAGTTGTGGCCTCTCCTCACAGATGCTGCCCTGCAGCCACCCCGCAGCCAGCACCTTACCACGTAAACTCAGTATAACACTGCAGAAAATGTCATAAGAGAAAAATAACAGCACATTTGTAGATTTGTAGCAGAGTTGGAATAATTGTTGTATGTTGAATGATGAGAAAACAATTAAATGTTGAGTGTTTGTTCATTAATGTTATTACTGTTGTATAGTAAACAACACAAGGTCTTTGTAGAAAGGATATGTGCTTGTGTGACCAAATAGTTAAAACTATCGTAATGAAGAACTATAGAGGACTAAAATAAAGTTGCTTGTAATAGTATGCATTCTGATATGTCACCCAGTTTGTCTTTGTATTCAAACTAGTCGTTTAGCATACTGTTGTATTTCATCTGTCTGTGCGGGTTCTGTGTCTGTGCTGATGCCTAGTGTGCTCATTGAAACATTTAAATATGCTTCAAGAGTAGTCTGATGTATTTGGTATCCTGAATAACTTGATTATTTTAATTGAGAGGTTAAAATCCGTCACAATGTGACAAAAAGCCCAAGTGGTAAATTGATTATTTGAATATGTAGAGGCCTTTTTGCCTGTTGCATTCTTGTGTATTTCCCTCCTGCCATGCTCTTAAAACAAGGGAAATAACATCAGGTACCAGGACAGAACAGCAGCATAAAGATTACTAGATTTATGACTGTTCTCACTTCGTGTTCTTCTCGTTTTATATTAATGTATGTTTATTGAGTGTTTTAAGGAAGCACACTTGTAAAAGTTGGTTCAGAAGTTTTTTTGGCAGATGGACTGTTGGATCAAATGGATCACTGTAGGCTTTAAGGGAGAGAACTACTTTTCTTTGCAGACAAGAAAGCCTGTGAAGCACAGGGAGAAATACAGAGCTTGCTGCCCATGGCCCTTTAGTCCTGTCTTCTCTCTTCTGCCAGGTTTTGCCAACTGCTGGACTCAAGCCTCTCCACCAAGAGTTTGTACATTCTTTCTTATGCAAGCTGGTGAACAGCGATCAGATAGGATTAATTACTGCTATTAGTCTGGAAGCTGGAGAGTGAACCTAACATATAACCTGTTACTGATCCCTGGCCTTTCTGCATGTTCCTCCTTGTTTCTGTCCTTCAGGCACAATGATTGGTGATCACACCCGCTTGGAATTTCACAACATCGAAACAGGGATCATGACGGAGAAACGGTACATTTCTGTCATACCCTCCAGCTTCATTGGCCACCTCCAGAGCCTCATGTTCAACGGGATGCTCTACATTGACCTGTGCAAGAATGGTGACATTGACTATTGCGAGCTGAAGGCACGCTTTGGTCTCCGCAACATTATAGCTGACCCTGTGACGTTCAAGACGAAGAGCAGCTACCTGAGCTTGGCCACCTTACAGGCTTACACATCCATGCACCTCTTCTTTCAGTTCAAGACTACTTCGGCTGATGGTTTCATTCTCTTTAACAGTGGTGATGGCAATGACTTTATCGCAGTTGAACTAGTCAAGGGGTAAGTAAAGTTTCTGCTATGTTCTACTGGTTCGCTATATAAAAACTTACTTACAGGTAAACTTAAAACGTGTAAAGAGAAATTCACCTCATACCCATGTTTTCTGTTTGCTGAGATGTATGACAAAGCACTTAGACATAAACACTGAAGCTTAATATTCCTGATTTTATCACTGACTTCCCCCTATGGCTGAGGAAAAGACACTTTTCTAGCGTGAGACATTACTGTTTTAAGTCCTTTGGATTTGATTAGGCCAAGTTTTGTCCTGTAAACCTTGCAGAATATCACAGAGGAGGAAATGTGAGTGTCTCTCCCTCTATTTTATTTTTTTTTCCTTTAACAGACCTGTTTTGTTTCTGCCACCTCTACTTAAGGAAAAAAGAGCATGTGGGTTGCTGAATTTGTATTTCTGCTGGTGATGCTTGAGGAAAAGCAAACTCAGCTTGCTTTTGAGCCACTATATTCTTTTTGCAAGACCAAGAGCTTATTAAAAAAAAAAATCCTTTGTTAGCTGAACAAATTTTAGACTCATCTAGTCACAGTAGACATGTTTTCGACAAATACAGTGTACTAGTCCTGTTTATTTCAGTATAACTATAGTTCAATCTGTTTCATTTTTAACTTTGCACATATTTCTGTAAGTGGGACACTGAGCAATAAAAAAAGCAGGAGTCACGAGCTCCTGGTGATCTGAGGGTTTAATTTTGTTGGATCTTTTTTTTCCTTTCTAAGAAGAATATTTCTTTTCTATCCTCAGGTGGATTTCTGTGTTTGAACTATATAAATAATTCAGGGTAACACTCCTATGACTTCAGTCTTCGTTAGGGTCTTTTCTTTTTGCTGAAATCTTTGCTAATTGTTTTCCAGCTGTTTGAATAAACCTAGAATCTTATGTGAATCTTAGTACAATATTTTGAGTGAGTTTCCCAATTAACTTCTTAAGGGAGTTATTAAAAACTCAGAATGAATCTGGGGAATATATGCCCCAAATAAGCATATCTAGTGTTGCTCCCCAGCACATTTATTGATCTTACCAATTTTAAAAAATAATTACATGCACAGAGAGGGTTTTTGTGGATCTGCAAGAACTTTGTGAAAAAGAGGAGCTTTATAGCTAGAATTTGATTACTGAAAATGTTGTCATCTCAAAATACTAATTGTTACACTTTCTTGGTAGAAAAGAAACAACTATATCTTTTCAAATCAGTGGCTAATATTTGGGCTTACTAGAACCTTCTAACCCAGAGATACCTCACTTCATGACTTTTGTAAGTTAATGCATCAAGTCTGGCTGGAATAAGGGTCAGTACTGCTGCAGTTCTCACACAATTTTAACTAGTTCTTGCTATGATTATAGGTATATACACTATGTGTTTGACCTTGGAAATGGACCTAATGTTATCAAAGGCAACAGTGATCGTCCTCTTAATGACAACCAATGGCACAATGTCGTCATCACCAGAGATAACAGCAACACACACAGCCTAAAGGTGGACACTAAGATGGTCACTCAGGTTATCAATGGTGCCAAAAATCTGGATCTTAAAGGTAAATTCTACAAGCCTGAGAGTTCCCCCCGTTATTCTTGCAGGGCTCAACCAGTAAACAAGAAAAAGCTTGCAGAAACTATTCATTACAGAACACTAAATCTGGAATTTGCTGATTTGGGCTTTCAATTTATTTTTTCTCTTTCTCTGTTTGGCAACTTCCTGTAGCAGAATAGTTTGTCATATTTTGCTTTTTCAGAAATTGATTGTCATTGTATAGTTTTTCCTAGTTAGAACGCAATTACAACTGTTTTTTGTCTTGGGGGGGCAAGTAGTGGTGTTTATTTGTCTTAGGTTTGGTGGTGGTGGTTTTTTTTCGTGTAGGAAAGGAGGCAGAAATGACTTCTTGCACAATATCTTGCTCTGTTTTTAACCTTTTCTGAGCAGCTGTTCAGCTTGCTATATTCATGTCTGGACAGGGAGGGAAGCCATTTTAGAAGGTATGTAAACTCCTCCTTCTTGTATGTTTACCACTTTCTCTTCCAGGTGATCTCTACATTGCTGGCCTAGCTCAAGGCATGTACAGCAACCTCCCAAAGCTTGTGGCCTCACGTGATGGATTTCAAGGCTGTCTAGCATCTGTGGACTTGAATGGGCGCCTGCCTGATCTAATCAATGATGCTCTGCACCGCAGTGGGCAGATAGAACGTGGATGCGAAGGTATAATTGATTTCAGAAGTTTCTCTTTCAAGCACTGCCTTCTTCGTTGCTATCCTCTGTGCATCTACGTGTCCACCTTACTGTCCATTTCATTAGTTTGCTTTCATCGTGACATCCCTCACTACACTTGTGTGTCTCATGCAGTTTAAGGATAGCTAACTTGTGCAAGCAGCTTAGCAGCTGTTCTCTTGCATACTCCATACCCTATGAGGTGGTACTTCCAGTAGCAGAAAGGATGGTACTGGGATGGACTACTATTTGCTAGTGCTTTTCTCAGAGTGGTTTATTAACATTACAGTACTCTTAAAATACTTTGAAAGAGCCTTCAATTCACTTGTGCTTCAGAATGCCCTTTTGTGGGAACCACAGAAGTAAGTATTTTGAAGACCAAGTAGAGGCAGGGGAATGGAAGATAGAAGGAACTGAAGGGTGAAGATTGGACCAAAACGGGAGTTCCATTTGGAGCAGGTGGGCCTCCAATGAAAGCACTGAGGGCTATTCCCTAGCATTGTCTCTGCTGTCTGGAAAACCTTTCTCTTCTGTAGTTTCTTTTTTCCAGCCAGTTTAGAAATAAATGTGCTGAGTGACTTTTTGAAGCATGTAAATAGTAGTAATTTCTTGAAGCTTCTTTAAATAATTTACTGTTCCTGCTAAGCTCCCATTAATGAAAAGAATATTGACATCAGCAGCACTGACTCAGTAACATGCATCTGGCATCAATTGCCAAAGCACTTGAGATACTTAGCATCAAAAACCCCAAGATTTTGCTGGCTGGGTTAAACGAAAAATCACCGTTATGTCTAGCTCCACTGAATACCAGTCTGCCGTGTTGGCTACCAGTCACCAGAGGAAGATAGTTTTATCAGTAAAGTTGTCTGGTATGTATGTTTCCATGAAGATGAATGTTCCTAACTGATCCTTCAAGACAGGACTTCACAAAGCGAAATTACTCTTTGATCATATTTCCCTGCTGTGTCAAGATTATAGGTTACATTATGCCTTGCCACTTGCTGAGACTGTCCCTTCTTAGGATTGAAAGTATCATCATAGTGCTGTCTTTAAGTATTCATGAAACATCAAGCTGGCAGTCCACGCCCTTCTTTGTCTCCCAGTGTTCTTATTGGCTGGGAGCTCCTGTGCCTCAGATCTCCTTCCACTCTCCCACAATAATACTCTGGTTTGTGAGAATTTTGTGTCCTGTCACAGGAGCTTGCTCAATGTCGAGTCTAATTTCACAGTATCGGAAGGTGCTGCACAGCTATAGGCTGTTCTTTTTTCTGCCTCTGCAGTGTTTAATAGCATCTGTTAACCACACCATTCCTTGTGGGAATGAGCATAGTGTAGCAGAACTTGTGGCTTTGCCCATTTGTAGCAGAGCTAAAATTCCAAAAGTAGAGTACTTTTTTCTGTGGTGTTGTTTACAAGGTTCAAGGAAAAAAGAAAATCCGTTTGGGTTTTTTTGAAAATGTCTTTTCTGATTATTCTTGGTGCAGTGAAAGCTATTCTTTAATATTAGTGATTTCTGGTAATTCTATTTAAAATTAACTTAAAATTATCTAAAATTATTTAAAATTATCTGTTGGTTCTATAGCCTGCATGTTATCTCTACTAGTTCTTCTCCTTCAGAGGATCTCTCATTAGACTAACCTGGTGTTCTGTGGCTCAGGAACAGAATAATGATGCTTTCCTGGAAGACTACACCATTATTGGAGCTACGAGGTTTCCTTCCTCTGTACCCAGTGTAGTTCTTTGCTTTAGTGTCCTATTGTGATGGTTGTGTATTGTCAGTGCTGCTCCCAAAACATGTAACACCGTGTGTGCTAATCTGGTACCAGCACAGCTGCTACCTGAATGTGGAGATTGATTCACTCTTAGAAATGTCAGCAATGTGACTTCCCCTTCTCTTCTAAAGACCTTCAAACAAGATTCAAAACTGGAGACAGACCTAAAAATCTGTGTGGGAAGCTCAATGACGGGCCTTGTTCTGCCTTTAGAAGAACTTGATCTTGCAAAGCAGTGCCCATGCTGTCTTCCTGAATGGTCCCTGCTTATACCAAGGGAACTGCTGAAGACGAATCCATTTTCTTTGCCAAAATGTTTAGGATTAGTAAAAAAACCTGAGAAATAGGTCACCAGAAAGCTGTTTCATTTGGGTTTTTTTTTTTACAGCAATCCCCAAGGCTTTATCTCGCATCTTGACTGCTGCCTGCTGGTGCCTGTTCTTTCTGCCAGTGAAAGTCATGCCTATCTCTCATTTTTCTAAGGAAAGAAAAACTCAAAGCATGTTCAGTCCTTATTTAAGTCTCCCTGTTTCGTTTCTGTCTGAAGTGATCTTGGGTGTAGTCTTAACAACATTTTGAAGTTCTTGCTGTCTCATGATGTTTAAATGTGTTTGTAATACTTGCAGGCTTTTTGGGTGAGAATAGTTGTGCTGTGAGTTGATTTGCAGAACATGTCCTTATTTCATCATGAAGGGTAGTAGGACCGTGCATATGATGAGAACATGCATGCCTAAAGGAATGTCATCCCATCCCCTCATATGAACCTTACCTTCCAAATGCAGTGTGAGAAAGAATTCTGCTAATGCTTGTCTCTTGTTGCAGCTTTGCTTTCAGAAGCAGAGGAGGTTACAAGATGGCAGCCATTTTCTCTGAAACTGTCAGTTTGATCTTGGGTAGAATCAAAGGATGTGGGGAGGAAGGAAGCCTGGAGAACAGTAGAATGTGAGGTGTAGGTCAGCAGACAGCACTGTCCCACCTAAGACAGACCAGTACTGCCGCAAATAGGTGACATTGTTACATCCTGTTTGCATTTGTTATCTCTATTCATATATTTCAGTACCCTATATTTCCATACCACCAATTAAGACTCACAAGTTTTAATAGGAAAATAACATTATTTTTCTTGGTTCTACTGCCACCTTTTATTCGGTCTGAGTAAGCCATTGAACTTCCTTGGCCACACTGTTCCTCTTATGTGCTTGAGCATAATTCAGCCTTATTGTGCACCACAAAGCACAAACCTACCACATTACGCAACTAGCTGCATTCCAGTGATGGGTAAAGCAGTGCTCCTATTTGAGCAGGAGCAGGAAGCACTTTCAATATAAATGATATTTATGTAAGATTTCTTTTAGGACCTGGAGAATCCCAAAGCATTGTTAAGCCATATATAGGAGTCATTAACTGAATTGCAGGCATACATGACACTGAAAGTGGCTGGGGTTTAATAGCGTGTAGTAGTGCTAAAAAAAAAAAAAAAAAAGAATTCGAAGACCTAAGGCAAGAATTACTTTATATCTGATTGCCTATCAGTTTTATTACTATAATTTCTTTAAATTATCTATGTTTAAGATTTGTTTAAGATAGCACAGCCAAGTAATCTTTTTATCCTGTTTGTTGGCTGAATGTCAGCTTCGTTTTGCATTATGTGGCTTTCTTGTGTGCCGGACAAACTTAAGGTCTCAGCATTTGAAGTCTGCCTCTCAGTCACCAGTGTGCTGGACAAGGTGTTAGCTGCCACACTGACCCATTTTGTGTTTTGATGTGTCCTGTAGGACCATCTCTTTTGGCAAAGAATTTTGTGGGTAATTATCTGGAAGAAGAGAACCCAAAAGTGTCTGAAGTGAAAGGAGCCCATGGAGTTAAGGCGCCACAACACACCCTCCCTTCTTTTTTTATTGTGGTGGTCTGGTTTATTTTCATTGCTCTTTTGCTATTGCTGCATTTCTGATTTTTCATGAACAACAGGCAGCTCTTCATTGATCTTGAAGGTCTGGTCAGATCTGTAGTGGCAGCTTGTGTTTCCCTGGAAGGTATTTAGCAAAGCCAGAAACCTTCCTGCTGCCTGGTGTGTAAAATCTGGTCTGGGTTGATGTGCTATATAGAACTGTGGGAAGAATGAAGTTTCAGGATAATGACATTATACCAATATATTTATTAATTTTCCACAGAGTATCGTTAGCTCTCATGCTAACTGTACCTTTCATCACCATCTTTTACATAACAAGAGGGGCCTTTCCCTACCACCACCCAAAAAAAGAGGTTGGTGAGAAGGCCTGAGAGAAAAGGTACAAAAGGTAGGGAAGTGGTTAAGACTTAACTAGTCCTTATGTCGGTGTTGTGTCAGGCTACCAATCACTTTGAAGAGATGAAATCAATTCTCAGAAAGGACTTAATATCAAGGGACCACTTCTACTGGAAGCTTGCAGGCAAGTCTGCCACTTTGGGCCTTGCTCTTCCCCACCCATAAAATATGTGCATGGTGTTCATCTATTTGTGATGAGAGTATGAAATTCAACAATGTCTTGCAGAGCAACTTTGAGGTAGTGAGTGGAGGTGTCTAGAGAGGAGCAAATCACTAGAAACGGAGGAAAAGAAGCCCTCTGTCATGACCTGGTTCTCTCCAGTCTCCAGCTGTGGGCTGATGTTGGAAATTTTTATACAGCTCCTGAGTTTGAGTAACACAGGCTGAATATTTGTCCTGTGGTGTGTATGCAAGAGTTGGAGGATGGAATAAGTTGTTCCAGGTGATCTTCTTTCCCTGCTTGAAAGTAAAGAAATTTAAACTTCACATCAGCTCCGTCTTGATTCTAGACTTGTAAAATCAATCCTCTTTGTTGAGCACTTCATATCAGGTGAATGGATCAGTTTATTCCATCCACAAAAGTCAAGAATGAGTGACTCACTGTTTTTTTTCCTCATTAGTCAAGCAGATGTCCAACCTTTTGTAGAGTTTAAAGATATTGCCCTAAATATTACTAAATACCTCCTGCATTTGGGGTGTTTTTTCACCTCTTTATTTGTTTGCCATATGTTCTCCTGTGTTTTCCCTTCCTTTATTTGGACGTCTTTATGTTGCTTACCTTGGACCTTAGAGCTATCTGAAATTCAGCTGCACATTCTAAATACTCACATTCACCCCACCCTGCCCCCAGCCAATCAAACTGAACAGCAGTTGTTAAAGAACATTGTATTTCTTCTACAAGGTGGTTTTCTATG